ACCTCAACAAACTGCAGGATCATCTAATGAACCCTTGGTTACCGTTATCGTGGACATATCGAACATATCGCTCACCGCTGATGAGAAAGCAGCGAACGACAACATGAGAGCAGATCTCTCAGCAGAAGTTCAAGCAGATGAGCACGTTGACGCGAGCATACTCGACAACATCATTGACCCGCCAGCAGACTTCCTCAACCATCCAGACTACGACCCAGACGAGGATTCAAGGTGGATTAGACAGTCAGATGACCGCCGCATATATCGTTGGACTTCGGAGTTGTTGGTATGATCGCCTTCCCCCCACCCCCCCCTCCCCCCTCCCCCCTACCATCCACTTCCCCCCACTCCCCCTCCTTTCCCCCCCCCCCCATGCATCCCCCCAACCCCCAACATCCCCCCCAATGACGTATGATAAAGATGAACCAGATCACAGAGGGATACACAGCGGCGAACGGACAGAATGGTAATAGGAGTTTCTCAATGTAACACAATCGCACTTACAATTCGAGATTCGATTTGGATCGAAAGCATGGAATGCAGAGTCATACCATTTGAATTATGATCATACCCACAAATGGGCACGTGACTTGCCAATTTGCAGCGCAGACCACTTTTTCAAAAAGTTGGTACATTACCTAGACCCAGAGACCATCGAGGAGTCGACTACTGGCGTCTTTCAATGGATCTCCAAAGTATATCAGAACATTTTGAAGGACAGTATTGCGGAGCTCCCTGATTTCACAAAAGATGCCATCCATCAGAAACATCCTGCACTCCAAGCGTTGCGTGACCTATTCAAGTATTGTACCGAGACATACGGTAACCCAGACTTCCCCGTATGGGAGGAGCCCTTGCACCCCCTAACTCTGCCTGCACCCTACTGCCCAACTTTCCCGAGGTATCCCCTACTGTCTGCTGTCACATTCTGTGCCCCCACTTCTTGTCTTGCCCTAGCTTTCCTGCATCGGTGGAAACACCTGCCGCGCCTCGTGAGCAAGGCGCGGAGCAGGATATTCCCCAGGACCCAGGCAGCGTTGCATCCGCAGCTCCTGATCAGGAAACCATGGTACGCATCATAGCCGAGCAGACGGGACTCAAGCGCGAGGAGGGCGACAACGAGTTCGCCTTGCAGGAGAAGGCTCGCCGTCTTCGCACCGAAAACATATGCCATGGTGGTGCCGAGGATGCGGACAACAACAAGACAGAGTACAAAGGACTGCCAGGGGAAAGATTGTCTAGGATCGAGATTGAGGGATTGAGTAGATCAATCGCTTCCCGACCGAACACCGAGATCAATCGCGAGGCCATCAATCAGATCGGCCATAGTCTCGCTCGCGGTCAGGACACTCGCTGGGGATCCCGTGATTGCCTCACGACGGAGGGGGCCCCAGAAACGATCTTGCATAACATCCCGCTCTGTCAGAATTGCGGTCGAGATTTATCCCTTGGGATCGTCACAGGTGATGGTACCATTTGTGACATCTGTTGGCAGTGTACCGTAGCCGTAGGTGCTACGGGTAAGAGTACCGCCGTCCAGAGCGATCTGGCGTACCTCCACAAGCTGACCAACTGGATCAAGACGACGCTCTCCCAGGACGCCATCGCGAGATACATTGAAAGACGGAGCCGCAAGTGCCATTATGACGGCGCGCACGACACAACCAAGGTAATGAGAAATAATTTTCGTTTGAGGAGATGGCCCCTTACACCCCCATTCGTAAGTCCCTACCGTAAGAACCCCTCTTTGTTCTTGGGTGCGCGGCCACACCATACATTTCTTCCCGTATTGTTTCTCTCTCTTCTGCCCTTTTTTTATTCCTTGTTGTCTTTTGTCTCTTTCTTTTCTTTTCTTCCTCCCTTTTCCGTCCTTTTCATTCTTTTTTATATGCGTCTTAGGAAGAGGTATCAGAGTGCGGTCGCTTTGTTCGAATCTGGTAGCCCTCCTGCACACGAGTGCAGACTGATGGGCGAAGCCGATGACGACAGACCTCTGTATTACCCATATGCCAATCTCGTTCAACGCTTTCTCAACGATTTGAAGTTCCACCACCAAATGACAGGCGCTCGCGTGAACGTGGGCAAGAGGGCCTGGAGCGTGGAGGACATGCGTGATGCGTGGGACATCCTCGATGTCAGCATCAGGACAGGACAAGCTGGTCGGGAGAAATGGTGGCTGAACGAGGGCCGACTCGACAGGCAGACGCGGCAGGCTCGCGGACTTATCACGATTGCCCTCCCTAGAAGGGACGGCACCCGTGAAAAGTTCACTCAGCGTAAGCTTGCTGCGATTGCTAACGAATTGTTGGGCTCCCTCGATCCGTCACATACCGACCAGAGGGGGGTTGATTCAGGGATGAGAACCGATCCAGCCGATCCCGATACACACTCCCATCAGTCCGATGATGCCATGGAGCCGCGCCATCCGCCGCCGCCGCCGCGCCCTGCCCCTGGCGATGCTGCGCAGTCCAGCGCCTCTGGCGCGACGGACCACGCGCCCGCGGGGCCACGTGTCAAGAGAGCGCGTACATCAGATTACGCCGCCTACTGGCGCGACGACCTCGAGGACAGCCATTGGGGCCTCAGGTATTGGAGCTACTACATCAACTGTGTGATCTACATCGCGATGAACAACGACGAGTACGTATACATCCATGACATCCAGTACAATGATTGGTTTCGCCACTGGATCCCGAGGACATCTTGGGAAACGTTCACGACGAGCTACGTGACGTACAATGGCCAGAGGATGTGGGGCCGTAGGTTCTACTTGAACGGCAGCGCGTAGTGAGTCGGCCGCAAGGCCCACCGCTCAAAGGCATGAACTTCGTTATAACCAAAGTTTGCCTTGAGTGGTGGCTATGCATTCTTTTAGGCCACTTCATTATATAACACAAGTGGCCACACACATACCTTTTGCGATAACCGAGGCAGCCTCCCAAGGAGCAAAGCCAACGGGGGTCGCCAAACATAATTTATATACATGCAGTTTTCGTGTTTTTCAACACGACATTCCGTCTGGCCAGACATTTGCTTTTACACGCAGTTGCGTTTCGTTGCAAGATCGCGTTCGTCAGCGCGATCTTAGCATGCATATTCTTTAGAGTTTAACATCATTGCGTTGATAATAATCTGATAGCTGGTGGCAACACCTGCCTCGCAAACGCGAGGCAGTTTACATGTTGCTTTAATGCTCAGATCTTCTTTCTCCGCCCACCCTTGTCTCATTCTTCTCCGCCCTCGCGTGCCGAAGCGTTTTGGGGAGCGCACCGAGGGGGGGCCAAAGTGTGCTTGGCGAAGAAATGGGGACCCAGGGTGTTCCTTCTTACTTCACTTTGCAGCTGAGGCTACACTGACTTTAAGCCCAGCTGTCTGCAGACTTAAGGATCATAGGGGTAAAAGGGTGACGGATTCTCTTCCTTTGTTCCCGAGTCCCGCCCTCGCGGGCGGGATTCGGGGCGGGGGGTGTGAATAGAACCCGTGTAATACCCTCATCTATACTCCTTATCCTTACCTCTCCTGCGCCTGGCCGTTTGGGCTCAGGTATTGAGATAGATCGATCAGACCTTTGATCGTGCAGGAGGGGGAGACATCCATCTATCCCTCCTTATCTCTACCAACGGATCAGGGGTTCTGTGCCCTTGTACTTCAACCCCATACACAGTGAACGCGACAGCCGCGAGGTATGGCCGAACCAAATCATTCTCCAAAGTGACAGCGCAGGGACTACGAAGGCGACCGTAGTGACGGCGCGCTGACGAGAATCGCCCCATTGGCCCCCATTATCCCACCTGCTTCGGGAGAAGGGAGATCATGAGAGAGCGAACGTGGTGAGGAACGACCGATGTAGCCTCCATGATGTTGTGCGTGGACAATGACAACGAGGGCTCCCTCCGACATCGCGGCGTCGTGGCGCATGTGTAATCCATCCGCGCTGATTGATGTCCCCTTGGGGCATGACCTCGAGACCCTGCCAAGGACGGTTGGCGCCTCAAAAGGGGGCGGCCCCAGGTAGCCCGATCCCCCGCCCGAAGAAAGACTCATCCTGACCGAACTATTTCGAATCCGCGTCGAGCGCAGGTGGGGGCGAGGGAAAAACTGAAACGGGGGCTCGCGCCCAGTTTGCCAGAGGCGGCTGAAACGACAAGCCTCCGACTGACGGGGCGACCGAGGAACAGACAACGTCAAATTATTGGTCGGGAGGGTGGCGGTGGGCTTCCACAGCCCCGCATCGCGGGCCCACCAGTGGACCTCACGGGCCCCCGACTCGACCCCCTCGAGCAGCCAGGCCCTCCAACTCTCATCCGCAGCCGTCTTCCCCTTGCCCGAGAACGTCCCCAGGAAACCAGAAACCTGCCCCAGCCGGTCGGCGCACTGGGGCAGCAGCGGATCTTCAGAAACCTCAGGGGTCTCACAGAGGAGGGCCCTGAGTGCAAGATGGGAGAGCAGAATCGATACCACTTTGGACGAAGGCTCGGACCTGCGAGCAAATGGCCAAACGCCTCCCGAGGTCGTCGTTGATGATGGGCGGATGGCCCGCCAAACAACCAGCCGAGTGCAGTGCTGAACTTCGCTGCTCGCCATGTTGATAGGCTTCGGCAAGAAAGATGCGGTAGGTGCTCTCCAAACGCCTGACAGCGTAGAGGTCTGGTTGTCTCGCCACCCTTTTGTCTTTGTCGAGAACCGATGTCCAAGCAAGTTTGGGGAGGCGGCCGTTGGCCCCGAACGCAGGCAAAGACCACTGACGATACGCGACGACCTCCAAATCAGCTTTATCCGCCCAGAGCCGATAAAGGCCGTCGAAGACCCAAACAGTGCTGTGCGCAGCCGGGTTTCACGTCCCAGCTAGGGTGCGGGGCCGATGACACAATCAACAGGGATGGGGGGGTGCTTTGCAAACCCATAAGCGTGCAGCTGACCAGTCTGGCGAAAGAATGCGAGGCGGACTGGCTTATGCGCTTTAGTCGCCGCCACAACCATATCGAGGTATTCTGGATGGCCTTGGGCAGGCCAATAGACACCAGGAAATAGTCCAGCTTGCGAACTCCCTGTGCACAAGTGCCCGTGCACGTGCCAGCCGCATTTGGGTAGACTATGTTAGCAGGCAGGGTACTGACAAGCTCCGACGACGCCAGCTCTTCGGGCTCCATCTGGAAATCAGCGCTGAGAACGTACAAACCCTGGTAAGACGAACGTAGAGCGCCTATGAAGGACAGAATGTCCAAATTGTGCACCGAGAGGCCCTCCGAGTCCTTGAGCTGCCCACAGACGGCCAGGAATTCCAAGCCCCCTGGAACCTGAACGACAGCAGCAGCAACTCTGCACATGACCACACACGGACCGTCAGTGATACCGTGTAAGCCGAGTAACTCCCTTGCCAGGATAGCATCACCACAAGAAGAGCCTTGACCCTCTCCCCTGGAGGCCGGGAGAAATCGTGATTTCCACCCGATCTAGAAGTCCGCTGCGAGGCCTCGCTCGCCTGAGCATCGCTGACCAGGTGAGTTTCCTGAACCAGAACAACGTGTGCGGCAGTCATGGGTAGCCAGGTCTTCGCGCTACCCCAGCGCGTGCAATTTGCTGCCACTCAACAAAGTTCAAAAAGTGTCCGAGCAAGCCGGGGCCCTGAGACCTGTGCAACAATCCAAGGGGGGGGGCCTTGGAGGCGGCTAGGCGAACAAGCCTTGAGATAGCAGGTGAAAGCCCCCCCACTCAAAAAGTGATGGCAGGACCCCCCCCCCTCGCCGCCGCCGGCCCTGCGCTGGCCTGAGCTGGGAACGAGGGGGATTCGGGAACCATCCGTTTTGGCAGCAGGTGCCACGAGGACAGAGCGGGCCCGCTCACGAACGTCAGCGGCAGGGGCGCCAGGCTCAGCGGCGTCATCAGCAGGTGCTTGCCTCTGCTGGTCGCCAGCAGCTCCGCCACTTCCGTGTCCAAGCCCACCCTCGGCGCCTGCGGTTTCGCGAACTGGCGATCCTGAAGTGGCATGTGGGGGCCCCTCCGACCGTGCGCTTCTTGGCGAGGCGTTTGACGTGAGCTGCATGGTCAGACTTGATCTTGTCGATGGAGGCCGCCGTGCTGGAGAAAAGGTCCTTCGTGGGGGCAGCCAGTCCTGCCTGGGGCTCAGCGCGACGCTTGTCGAACTCCTCGCGATCCTTGGGTGACAACTCATAGCCGGTGTCGTCCAGGGCGAGGGGCTCTTCGTAGTCGGCGATGGCGATAGCGTCGGGCTTTCCTTAAAGACACCACATCGCGAATGCTGAAGCCAGCGCGCACGACAGGACCAGTGGCAGCAGGCTCTGGCTGAAGAGCTGCCTTGTGGAGGCGGGGGACCAGATCTTTGTGAACTAGGTCTTGCTTGTTGAGCTCGGCCTGAGCGTCGGCCGCGGCGGTGGTACAATGCCTGTGCCACTTCCGAGCCGTCTCCAGGTTGTCGAGGTCTCGATTGAGGCGCCGCTCCAGGATGCGGACCTGCTGCAGCGCCTTGTTAGCCTGACGCTCAAGGGGCTTCTCAACGGGGCCCTTGACCGCGTCAACCTTCTGCTTCTTCCAAACCTGGTATTGCGACTTATCGACTTGATCACCGAATGTAGTGACCATGGCCAGCAACGAGCCGATATCTTTGATCTTGATGTCAGGCGGCATGGAGCTAGCGCCGCCCAAGAGGGCGAGGGCCTAGCCTCCTCCTCGTCGCCCGCGATCCGTCGCCGTAGTGTTCCACGACGACCTCAGAGCGTGGGCGGCGGCAATGTTTACACCATGTGAACCACTTGAGGTTCTTGCCGCATCCACAGTCCGCGTGAGCTCACTCCCGCCTGGGACCAGCTCCGCCCGCATCGCATTTGTTCCAGGACCACGAGCTGACACCTGCCATGGCTTCGTTCTGCTCTGAGTGTCGAGACCGAAAGGGCAACCGAGCCACTCTGGATCGCGTTCACCCAGCCGTTCTGACTCGTGCCATAACGGCTGGGAGGAGGAGGAGGAGGAGGAGGAGGAGGAGGAGGAGGAGGAAGAGGAGGAAGAGGGAGGAATCCATACGGATGACCAGGAGCAGGCGGACGAGGAGGAGGAGGAGGAGGAGGAGGAGGAGGAGGAGGAGGAGGAGGAGGAGGAGGGGGGAGGACGAGAAGGACAAGGAAAGGAAGGAGGAGGAAGGAGAAGGAAGGAGGAGGAGGACGGACAACCATGAGCAGGAGCAGGAGCATGAGGGGGGCAGCGGAGGAGCTCGAGCTCTACGCCTCGCTGCTCAGGGTCCGCGACCGGCAGGTGGGCGAGCTGCAGGGCCTGTGCGAGGCGAGCGACCCCCGCCTCGGGCTGCGGCGGGGTTTGGGCGACGATACGTTGTCGGACATATATATATATATATATATATGTGTAGATATAGGTAGGTATGTATATATGTAGGTAGGTAGGTAGGTAGGTAGGTAGGTAGGTAGATAGGTAGGTAGGTAGGTATGTATCCATGCATGCATACACGTATGTATGTATGCACGTACGTCTGTATAGCTGGCTCAATGTCGGTCTGTTTGTATGTATGCATGCATGCATGCATGCATGCATGTCTATATGTATATATTGGTTACGAGCGATACATCCATACATACACATATATCGGAGGTGTGGGGGTGAGATCGATGTGGAACGGAGAGCCCCCCTACCGAGAAATCGATTTCGGTTTCGTGTTCGTGCGTGCCGTGCGTGCAGGCGAGGCGAAGCTGCGTGGACGGGCGAGAGAATGTCTCCTGTGGCTGAGGCGCGGCCAGACCAAATGTTTGGCGCCCCGGCGTCCGGGGCCAGGCGGTGTCCCGCCGGTGTCCCGCCGGTGTCCCGGTGTCCCCGGCGAACGGTGCCGCGCGGTGTCCCGCTGGTGTCCCGCTGGTGTCCCGTTGGTGTCCCGTTGGTGTCCCGATGATGATGATGATGATGATGATGATGATGATGATGATGATGATGATGATGGTGATGGTGATGGTGATGGTGATGGTGATGATGATGATCATGCTGATGCTGATGATGATCATGATGATGATGATGATCATGATAATGATGATGTTGATGATGAGGATGACGATGATGATGATGATGATCAGGATGATGATGAGGATGATGATGATGGTGGTATTGATGGTGATAAGGATGATGATGATGATGATGATGATGACGATTCTGATGATGAGGATGATGATGAGGATGATGATGATGGTGGTGGTGATGATGAGGATGTTGATGATGATGATGATGATCATGATGATGATGATGGTGATGCTGGTGATGATGGTGATGATGGTGATGATGGTGATGTGGTGATAATGGTGATGATGGTCATGATGGTGATGATGGTGATGATAGTGATGATGGTGATGCTGGTGATGAGAATGATGATGATAATTATGATGTTGATGATGATGATATTGATGATGGTGATGGTAATGATGAAGATGACGTCGATTGTGAGATCGATTGTGAGATCGATAGTGAGTGATGGTGATGATGATGGGGATCATGATGAGGATGATGATGATGATGATGATGGTGGTGGTCATGATGATGATGATGATGATGCTGATGATGATGATGACGATGATGACGATGATGATGATGATGAATATGATGATGATGACGATGATGATGATGACGATGGTGGTGATGATGGTGATGGTGATGGTGATGCTGGTGATGATGGTGATGATGGTTATGATGGTGATGATGGTGATGTTGATGTTGTTGATGATGATGCTGATGATGATGATGATGATGATGCTGGTGTTGATGGTGACGATGATGATGATGGTGATGATGATGATGTAATTGTTGATGATGATCATGATGATGATGATGCTGATGGTGATGGTGATGATGATGATGATGATGATGATGATGATGATGATGATGATGATGATGATGATGGTGACGTCGATTGTGAGATCGATTGTGATATCGATAGTGAGATCGATAGTGGGACCGAATTTGAGATCGATTGTGGGATCGATAGTCAGATCGATTGTGAGATCGATAGTCAGATCGATTGTGAGATCGATCGAATGAGATCGATTGTGAGATCGATAGTGAGACCGAATGTGAGATCGATGGTGATATCGATTGTGATATCGATAGAGAGATCGATAGTGAGACCGAATGTGAGATCGATTCTGAGATCGATAGTGAGATCGATTGTGAGATCGATATTCAGATCGATTGTGAGATCGATCGAATGAGATCGATAATGAGATCGATAGTGAGATCGATAGTGAGATCGATCGAGTGCGACGTTGGTTCCTCCCCCCCCTCACCTCCTTATCACCCGAAGGGTGGTCGTATAGGTATATATATATAAACATGTATATATATACATTTGTATGTTTGTATGTGAAGACATAGGTGTGTATATATACACACCTATGTACATAATTATATGCCTGCATATCGTCTTTGTGCATATATGCATGGTTGCTAGGTTCTCGCAATTTGCGACGTGCGGCTTCGGCCAGAAGGCGGCGGCGTTCAGCGACGCCGGGGAGATGCGCTCCAAATTCGGCGGCAGAGGTCGCGAAAGGTCGCCCCGCCAGGATGGGGGTCGCCGGGCTGGTGCCCCGGGCTTCCTGACAGACTCTGCCTGGGGCGATTGGGCGCTTCCCGCGCAGAGCATTCAGTGACCCGACCCGGTTGGGATGGCATCGGATGGCCACGCTAAGGCCTTCGCCTGGAGGCGCCAGAGAAGGCCGGAGTCCGGCTGCGTGCGTGCGCAAATTGGAAAGCGGGGGCGCGTCGCCCCGGAGCCCCCGCCATGCTCTCGCGTCGCAGCGTATCCACGCGCATTGCGCATTACTCTTCGGCTCTGTCTTTCTCGAGCTCCCGCCTTGCCAACTTTGCTCGCGATAGGGCTCCAGCTATGTAGCGCCCGCCCGCAGCGTGCGACATTTCGATGATGCACCGTCTTCGTGGCGCTGCATTCGGCGATATTCCATTGCTGCTGCAGTCGGCGCTGTCATGGTGTCGTGCTTGTCCTTTTCGTCTCCATTGTACTTTACTCGGTGAGTATACAGCGGTGTCTGTGCGGAGTGCGAGTGTATCATCGCGGTTCAGGCTCATTCGGCGTTGCCTTCATCTACAGCTGCTTCCAGCGCGCATGAGCCACAAACCGACATCTAGGACCCACGCTTGCCAGGTGTCTCGGCGGTGACGCTGAGGACCGTTTCCTCTCTTGTCGTTTGCCTCTTTTCGAATTTTCTCATCGGTCTGTCCCCTCCCCATCCTTTTTCCTTCCTCCCGCGTGGTCGTCCCTGCGATTTCGGGTGGTCGTTGCTTCCTCCTCGGTCACGGTGTCCTCCTCGTCTTTCTCTTTCGCTCGTCGTCCCCTCGGCTTTTCCAACTAGACAAAAGTGGCCGGCCTGGGTTATTCGGTAATCTAATATGAGAAGTATTTGGAAATGCGGGGAAAAGGAACGTCCAGGAAACATGCAACATGCAACGATATGGGAATTCCTGGAGCCCTCGTCCATTTGGTTGTGTCCCCTTGGGCCACTTCACGTCTGGGTGCGGTAGGTCCACGTCGCGTCGACTGGCGGCGACCCCGCCGCCGGCGTTCAATGTTGAACGCTACTGGCGACCTGGAGTCGGTCGCCGTTGAGCGATTGGACGAACCCCGTGGTGCCAAAAACCAGTGCCTGAGTCCACACGGCACGAGCCCGCCGCACTTGGTTTCAATTGCAGGAGCGCCTGCTGTGAGGTTTTTTTAGTCAGCCCCCCCCCCCCCTCCCCAGCTCGCCGCCCGCCACCCGTCGTCGTCGTCGTCGTCGTCGTCGTCGCCGTCGTCGCGATACGACACGAATCCGCCATAGCGATGAGGGCGGACGGCGCAGACGGCAGAGGGCTCCCGCGTGCGGGCTCCCGCTTCTGTCGCCCCGCCCCCGCCTCGGCGAGGCGGCGCCCGCCGGCTCCGCGCGGGAGCTGGACGAGGCGCGCCGCGAGGCGCAGCGCCTGCAGAGCGAAAAGGCCCCCGGCCCGACGGGAGGGAGGGGGAGGACGAGGAGGATGAGGATGAGGAGGAGGAGGAGGAGAAGGAGGAGGCTGAGGAGGAGGAGGAGGACGAGGACGAGGAGGAGGAGGAAGAGGAGGAGGAGAGGGAGGAGGAGAAGGAGGAGGAGGGGAGGACGAGGCGGTGAGGGGGGATCGGGAGCAGGAGGATGGAGATAACCGAGGTGGTGTTGTTGTTGGTGGTCGTGGTGGTGGTGGTGATGTTGGTGTTGGAGTTGGTGTTGGTGTTGGTGTTGCTGTTGCTGTTGGTGTTGTTGTTGCTGCTGCTGCTGTTGTGGTTGTTGTTGCTGTTGTTGTTGTTGCTGCTGTTTTTGGTGTTGCTGCTGTTGTTGCTGCTGTTGTTGATGTTGCTGCTGTTGTTGTTGTTGGCGTTGCTGGTGTTGTTGTTGGTATTGGTGGTGGTGTTGTTGTTGCTGGTGATGTCGTTGGCGTTGTTGTTGATGATGTTGGTGTTGTTGGTGTTGTTGGTGTTGTTGGTGTTGTTGTTGTTATTGATGGTGTTGTTGTTGTTGTTGTTGTTGTTGTTGTTGTTGTTGTTGTTGTTGTTGTTGTTTGTGTTGTTGTTGGTGTTGTTGTTGTTGGTGTTGTTGTCGTTATTGTTGTTGCCGTTGGTGTTGTTGTTGATGTTGTTGTTGTTGTTGGTGTTGCTGTTATTGTTGTTGCTGTTGCTGCTGTTGTTGTTGTTGTTGTTGGTGTTGCTGTTGTTGTTGTGGTTGTTGTTGTTGTTGTCGTTGTTGTTTTTATTGTTGTGGTTGTTGTTGCTGTTGTTGTTGTGTTTGTTGTTGTTGCTGTTGTTGTTGTTGTTGTTGTTGTTGATGTTGTTGTTGATTATGTTGTTGTTGGTGGTGGTGATGGTGATGGTGTTGTTGTTGTTGTTGTTGTTGTTGTTGTTGTTGTTGTTGTGGTGGTGAGGGTGGTGGTGGTGGTGGTGGTGGTGGTGGTGGTGGTGGTGGTGGTGGTGGTGGTGGTGGTGGTGGTTGTTGTTGTTGTTGTTGTTGTTGTTGTTGTTGTTGTTGTTGTTGTTGTTGTTTTGGTGGTGGTTGTGGTGGTGGTGGTGTCCTTCTCCGCGGAGGACCATGTAGCCCTTCCCAGGCTCCTCCTGCGTATGCGGGTCTTGGGCCCGGGCCTGTGCCTCTCGTCGGACGTACACCCAGTGGTGCCTCCCCTGTACCTCCACCGGGTTTGCTGGTGGGACTGGCTCGGGGGCCGGCGCCGGAGGCTTTCCCCTGGGGGGGCCCCGCTCAAGCCCTCCGCGCTCGCGCGGGCGTGCGTGGGGCAAGTCCAGCGTCCCTCCACCCACCGCGTGCCCACGTCTGAGCAGAATGGGGGGGGCCTGGCACCGGAAGCGGGACCGAAGCTTTTCACATTGCTCCCGATGGAGCTTGCACAAAGGCGCGTATACTCCCTCCTGCTTTCGCTCCAACCTGGCGGTGTCCGAGGACTGAGAGTTCATCGGCGGGTTGTGGGCTCAAGGGCCACGCCGGCCCAGGGTACCAAGCCGGCTCCTGGAGGGTTGCCCTCCGATCCGCTCAGCGCCGCAGTTGTCCGCGAACGGTACCTCGCTCTCGGAAGCGGATTGGGGATCCCGGGGCCTCCCCTTTTGTGGCGCCCCTCCTCCCTCGGGGCGTGGCCAGCAGGCCGAGGGCAGGGAGGCCCAGACCCGCCAGCAGGCTCCACGCCAGGGAGGGGACCCAACCCGACCAGCTGCATCGCTGGAGGTAGCCAAGCGGCACGACTAACTCGGGGGGCTCCGCTGGTCCCAGGGGCTCCTCGCGGTAGATCCCGGCGCACTGGTGGCTGTGGGCCGCCACCGCGGTGTGGGGAGGTGGTGGTGGTGGTGGTGGTGGTGGTGGAGGAGGAGGAGGAGGAGGAGGCGGAGGCGGAGGCGGAGGCGGAGGAGGAGGAGGAGGAGGAGGAGGAGAAGAGGAGGCGGAGGAGGAGGAGGAGGAGGAGGGGGGCGCGGGAAGGTAAAAAGGGTTAATGAATGATAGGGGGCGAGGCATGCAAGCTGGGCGCGCTTGCGCCATGTCTGACATCCCACCTCGTCCATCCATCACTTCCATTTCGCTGAATTCGTGTCCGTCTGCCGATCGGAGGAGAGCTCGATGCCTATGCCACGTCGTTTTACCAGCCAAGGGGCCGAGGAATTCAGCAGTGGAATATGTGGCGTCTATGCGCGGAGCCCCTTGGCCGACCGGACGACGTGGCGTATACTTTGAGCCCCTCCTTACCGACTGCGGCGCCATGGCAACCCTTGATTCCCCAAATGACCCCATCGCGCGATGCGCACTCAGAAAGAATGGCTGTGCTGGCTGAAGGAGGAGGAGGAGGAGGAGGAGGAGGAGGGTATTGTGGATAAGCAGGAGGAGGAGGAGGAGGAGCAGGAGGAAGAAGATGACTAGGGAAGCGGAGACGGCGAAGAAGCCTTCGACTAGATATATGTCTTGCGTTGGGGCGATGGCGTCGTGCTGAACAATGTCTGGAAAACGCCGATCCTGAACTAAGGCCAACTGCAGCAGGATTTGTGTTGAGGGCCTCCGGGTCGAACACGTCACAGGACTACCAACGCATGAGATAGGGAGAAGCAGGGGAGAGGGATAATCCCACATCACGTTGAACAGCACGCGGGACAAGCGGGAGAACGTAGGGGCAAGATCAGAAGAGGGAAGAATTTCGGAGTCACACTGTGTAGTGTGACAGTCTAGAGGGTGAAGGGGGAGGAGAGGGATGAAGGAGGGGAAGGAAAGGGAGGAGGCGGACGAGGAGGACGGCGGAGAGGGAGAAGGAGGCAGGAAGCACAAGAGGAGGAGGAGGAGGAAGATCGTTTCACGAGGACGCCGAGGCTTCCGCCGCCGTCGACAGCTCCCCCTCACGAACTGCTTCCCGCGCCTCTCGCGGGGCGCGCTCGGGCCGGAGTTCCGTGGGTGGGCCTGGCCGTGGTGACGAGAGACGTTTGTGGAGCCCCAGAGTACGAACAGCGCAGAAGCCTGGAGTCACGACCCTCTGACGATCGACGGCGACGACGACGACCACGACGCCGACGACCACGACGACGACGACTCCGACGACGACGACGACGACGACGACGACCACGGCGACCGCGACCTCGACGACGACCACGACCACGACCACGACCACGGCGACGCGGCGACGTACGGCAACGAAGACGGCTGAAGACGACGATGATGACGCCGACGACGACGTGGCGACGAACGACAATGAAGACGGCTGAAGACGACGATGATAATGACGACGACAGCGACGACGAGGACGACGACGACGACAACGACGACGACGACGCCGACGCCGACGCCAACCATGGCGACGAGGCGACCACGGCGACGCCGACGTCAAGCGACCACGAGGACGCGAGAGCGCCGCAGGACGAGCTCGAGCGGCTGGTTCTCTCCAAGGACAGGCAGCTGGCAGCGGTGCAGGGCGTCGACAGGAGCATGACGGACGCCTCGGCGCTGCAGCTGGGCGCGCACGAGGGAGGAGGAGCAGGAGGGGCAGGAGGAGGAGAAGGAGGAGGAGGAAGAGAAGGGGGAGGAGGAGGGCGCGGGAAGGGGAGCAGGGAAAGGGACGGCGGAGGGCGAGAACTGCAAGCTGGGCGCGCTTGCGCCACATCTGTCATCCCACCCCGTTCATCAATCCCTTGTTATTGCGAAGGTCTTGCGGTTGGTGCCGTTGTCTCTGAAGGGGGACGACGACGACGACTACGACGACTACGACGACGACGACGACGACGACGACGACGACGACGACGACAGCGACCGCGACGACGAAAAACATCCCATGAGTGTTGGGACAACCATTGAGTTTACCGTCTTGGGGTTGTCATCGTAGTGATCTGGGGACTCCCTTGGGTCTCTTGGGAGCCTCTCGGGGGCTTCTTGGGCGCCTCTTGTGGCCGGCCTCCAGGGGCCCTCTTGGGGCGGAAATCTTGAAAAGTCGGTTGGTGGTGTTCTCCCTCTCGGGAGCCTCTTGGGGCCCTATTCGGTCGTTTTTGGAGCCTCTTGGGCCGTCTTAGGGCTGTTGTCGGGCGCTCTCGGCAGCGTCTTGAACGTTCTTGCGGCGACTGTGGTAGCTTCCTGGCCCGTTCTTGGAGCGTCGGAAGCCCGAAAAGGCGAGGACGCGAAACACATCGAACAAGTGAATGCAAATCATGGGTTTTCGCCTCTGGGGGCCCTTGGGGCTCTACTTGATGCCCTCTTGGGGCGTCTTGGGGGCCTCTGAGGCCGTCTTGAGGGAACTAAGGCTGTCTTCGAGCGATCTTGGGCTGTTTCAGGGCCCCCTTGGAGCCAGCCGCGGTACAAGTGAGCTCGAGGCGTCTGAGGGGCAAGATATCAATGGGGGACGCTTCTCGAAGGGAGGTGTGCTCCCCCCTGGCGGGGGGGGGGGATCACAAACCACGGGAACCCCCTCCCCGACCTCCTTTGGGACCCCCCCCGGCCCCCCCCTCCCCGGCGGGGCAGGGATCAAAGTGAAGGGGCTTTCCTTCGACTCGATTACGACGTGTTCGATTTCCCTCTAGCTGGGACGTTTGAGGAGGAGGAGGGCCTTCAAGGGACAGGGGCGATGACGACGACTTAGACGGAAAGGCGTCAAGGGAGGGGAGTGGCGACGACGACGGCTGAAGCGGAAAAAGCTCCTCACACAGGCTGACAGGGTCGGGGGATTGCGCCGAATGCATTTCTGCTTGCCGTTCGGAGAGGAGCAGGCGGGGCAGGGTGAGGAGGAGGAGGAGGAGGAGGAGGAGGAGGAGGAGGAGCCTCGTCATCCTCGAAGACGAAACAGCGACACTAGCATACATGTTCGGATGTCCGCGCGGATTTCTCCCGTCGACGCTGGATTCTCCGTCCCTGGCGTGCGGAGCGTGCCAGGGATGTCGCCGGAGGCGCCGCCAGGGGGGGCCTTCAGCGCTGATTCAACAGATTCGCGCGGATCTCCGACAGTGTGTGTTTATGCATGTGGTTGTTCCTCTCATGTCTTCTCATCTTCCCTTTCATCGTTCTCATCCCTCTCCTCCCCCTCCGTCCCCCTCCTCAGTCTCTTCGCTGCAATTGCCCAACATGCGAAGCCCGCGTGGGTAGGCGCTGCCCGCGACTCTTCGGCAGCATGCCGCCCTGATGGTTCTTAGAAGTAGAGGCTGTAGATTGGCCTGGATTGGTATTCGTCCTCTCCAAATGTTACATGATGTGGCCAGTAAGCTTCTCCAGGAGTGTGGCGGTCGAGATCGGTCGGCCTCATAGTCTCTGGCGCTTTGTTGTCCAGTCTGGGTCCAATGAACCGCACTGGGGAGCGTTTCATCATCATCAGCAGCATTATCATCAGCATCAGCATCACCATCACAACCAGCATCATCAGCATCATTATCAGCATCATCATCATCGTCATCATCATCGTCATCATCATAAGCATCAGCATCATCATCATCATCATCAGCATCATCATCAGCAGCAGCAACATCAGCATCAGCATCATACTCAGCATCAACAGCATCATCAGCATCAGCATCAGCAGCATCATCAACACCATCATCCTCAACATCATCATCATCATCGTCACCAGCAGCAGCAGCAACATCAGCATCATCATCGACATCATCATCATCATCATCATCATCGTCATCAGCATCATCATCATCACCACCACCACCATCATCATCATCATCATCATCATCATCATCATCATCATCATCGTCGTCGTCGTCGTCGTCGTCGTCATCATTATCACCATCCTTCTCCTCCTCCTCCTCCTACTTCCCAGGTTCCCAGGGAGGTCTCACGTCTAACTGTACACAACATCATCAACACATTTCTCCAGAGTCACCTACCTCTTAGCTGGCGTCTTCGTGACTGGTTGGGAGCCATCCTTGTAGTCCCTTTCCATTCAGCACGTATCGAGGAGTCGAGCCGCTCCACTTCTTCATGTGGGAGGAGGGGCATTCCTCGAATTTCCTGTTACACGAATCGTTGGGGTCGGCGCCAGGGGGGTACTTAGTTAGATGAATTGTAGCCCGCCACCTCGAGCCAAATTGGGTCTTGCAGACAGGGCAGAGGGCATCCTCGCCCACACATCTCCGCGCTATTCACCTCCAGTTATGCTTCCGCATCTTTCGGGACAGCAAGGCTCGTGGGGTGGCGAAGGATGGATGGGGGACAACACCCACACACATATGCCCACACACATACACACATACACACCACACACGACACGTGAGGACGAGCGGTGGGAGGGGTGTCAATTTGGGCCGAGTCGGCCACAGAGATGCGGTAAAACAGTTTCTGAACAAGCGGGCTCCCGAAGGAGCCAGCTCCGCGGTCCTCCTCCTCCTCCTCCTCCTACTCCCCCGTCCTCTCCGTTATTGGTGGCACTGATGGTGGGTCATGAGTGCTGGCCGATGCGTATCTCCTCAGCTTATTACACTTTTTCTTTAGTGACACGTTGCGCCGTAGTAGGAAGGCTCCTCCCTCCTTCTGCCCATCATCCTCCGCATCCCTGGGCCTGGGGCGCCCATGCCCAGATAATAAGTGGGCCCTGCCAGTAGCCGCCACTGCCCATGGCAGGCCCTGCGGGTGAGCGCATGGAGGCGGCTGCCTGGAGACAGTTCTTCTAATCTCCCAGACAGTTTGGGAATGCTCAAGAATGACTCACTCCCAGACGGCGCTGGCGCGAGATGTGACGTGACCAGGTGGGTGGGGACGGGGGGGGGGATGGGGCCGGCCACGGGCGTTCTCGCGAGTGGCAAAAAGAAGGGCTCCTGGCTGGTGGGCGCCACCTGTACAGGGCGCTTCCAGCATCGTTGCTCACCACCCACCAAAGCACCCCAACCCAACCCGAAGGCTTCAATCTGCCCTCCATTTCCAGTGGGGGGGGGGCGTCGAACATTGAAAGAGCACATGGGACCCGTTCCCCACCCAATCTGAAATTCGGGCGGAATATGGGTCTTCGGGTTGGGCTGGGGTGGTTTCGTAGTCCTCTGGCGCGTAACGTCCCGGGTAGCGGTGACGATCGTGCGTTTTGGGGAGGGGGGGGCCGGTGCTCGCAGGCGCCTTGCCACTGCTCGCAGGCGCCCTGCCGATGCTCGCAGGCTTTGCGCATATGGCCGACCCCTCCCGCCAAGCGTTCCTGCTACCCGCGCCCCCCTCCCCCCTGGGGTAACGGCCGTTACAGTCAACCCGCATAATGAGGATGGGCAGCCTTCCCAAGGGTACCCCTGCATCCTTGCCCCCGCGGTCCATGCTTCGCCACGCTCGCTGGCCGCGCCCCGCTCGAAGAGCTTCGCATGGGGCGTCCAAGGCCCTTGCATCTTCATCGCGCATCCTCACTACACGGGTTGACTGCACGCGCAAATGATAAGAAAAGCAAGGACACCTGTACGCTTTAAGTCGGGCGTGTCCCCCTACAGGGGGATCTTCGACGAAATTTAAAAAATACGGAAAAGATGCCAAACGATGCCCAAAAGTAATATAAAATTCTAGACGCTTCGCTTATCCCCACCAGCCCATCCCGAAACGATGTCCAGGCGAGTTGAGGTGATCAGGGAAGTGCGGCAGCAAAGAGGAGGACGGCCGAACCGTGCAAAGGAGTGAGGAGGAGAAGGAGGAGGTGGATGGATGGATGGATGAGGGAGTGGGAAGACGGAGGATGAATAGGATGAGGAGGAGGCGGAGGAGGAGGAGGAGGAGGAGGAAGAGAAGGAGTAGGAGCAGGAAGGAGGAACAGGAGGAGGAGGAGGAGGAGGAGGGCAAGCACAAGGGCCAGAGGTCTCTTGGATGCCTCTAGGAGCCTCTTGGAGTATCTCTTGGGCGATTCTTGGGGGCCTCTTGGGACGTCTTGGGGGTCTCTTGGCGATCCTGGGGGGCTCTTCGGGGTCTTGGGTGCCTCGGGGGGGGGCCTCGTGGGGCCTCTGAGGGTCTTCTGGCGGCCTTCTGGGGGCCTCCTGGGGGCCTCTTGGGGCCATCTTGGGGCCATCTTGGGACCTCTTGGGGCCTCCTGGGCGCTTCTTTGTGCCATCTTGGAGGAGATCTATCAAAGAAGAGCTGAGCTTTAATTAGCGGTGCCCCCCCAGGAGGCCAAAATGGGGCCAAAACCCTTCTAAAATCAATGATTTTGGCTTCCTCGCCGAGGCTGTTTTGGACGCTCTGACCGCTCCCCGCCCCTCCTGTCCAGGTCAGTGGGGAGGGGGTAGGGGGAGGGGTAAACCCCTCCCCGAAGGGGAAGAGGGAGGGGTGGAAGAGGAAACGCCCTAAACCACCGACGCCCAGAGGGCTGGTGGGAATAGACCCCAGACTGTTTGTTGATTATTTCTGGCGAATTCTTTGGCTATTTCTTTTATTGTTCGTCGGAAAGCCCCCTGTAGGGGGACACGCCCGACTTCACCGTGCGCGGGCAGCCGATAGCCCCATCCGCGGCCTCGCAGCCGCGGCGGCCTCCTCCGTGCGGCCAGGGCGGCAGGGCGGCGGGGCGCGCGGCGC